GAATAGTTTATGCAATACAATGTATTATACATTATTTGTTTTCTGTATAGATTTAATAAACAGTACGTACTTGTTTGGCTACGGGAAAAAAAAAAAATAAAAAAAATAAATTTATATACTGTATAAATTATTTTTTTAATTATAATAGTTTAATATAATTTAATAATAATTTAATTACAAAAAAAAAAATTATTATTATACTATTTAAAAAATTTTATAATTTTACTTATTCAAAAAATAAAATCAACTTGTTTCTTTTAAATAATTATTTTCTTTAATTATTTAATTAGATTTTATTATTTTATTAAACTAATGTATAATTAAATTAATTCAAATTAATTTTATAATATAACAATAATAACAATAATTATTATCAAAATAACAAACAATATTATTTATATTTTATTATTTGTATTAACAAAAATTATATTAAAAAATTAAAATAATAAAATAATAAAATAATGAATAAGCCTAATATTTTTTTAAGATATAATTTTTATTTTTATAAAATTTATAATCTGTTTAATTTAGTTTAGTTTTAATTTTAGTAATTCTTGTTTTTTTTTTTTACTTTTTATTATTTATTATATTTTATCAAAATTTTTTGAATTAATAGAAATATTATTTTACAATTTTTTTTTAATATTAAATATAGATTGTATAGGCAAGCTAGTATTAAATTACTACTATTGCATATAAAAGGTATTGTTTTTTTTATAATATATATTTTGTTATATACAAATCTAATAAAGAAATAATACTAATTTATCAGAAATATATATATATATACATGTATATATTTATAATTATATTTAATTAAAAAATTTAAAGTTATTAATATAATGTAATTTTCATAATTTTATAATTATAATTAAAGTTTTAATGAATTTCTTGCGCATAATGCTAGTCAAAAATAATAATAGTTAAAAAAAATTAATTATAAAACTTTACTATATTAAATTATAAAAATATAAAAAAAATTTTATTTATTTTGTTATTTTATATTTATTTATATTTATATAATTTTATAATCTAACCCTCATAAAGAAACTATTACACACCTAAAACAATGTAAAATATAAACAAGATTAATAAATTGATTTATTGTTTGTCTTAATACTACTATAATAGGAGTGTGAGAAAAGAACTATTTTTGGAAGTAATAATCTATTTTTTTATTGTAATCAAATTTCTTAGAAAAATCGAAAACGACATTCGTATAATCACGCATTCGTTAAATTCGTTAATTTATTTCTCAGGCAATCGCGTATGTACTGTATGTACACATTGGTGCTGTTTATGACGTACTACCACAAGCCTTTTAACATATTAAGATAATAAATAAATCATCAGTGTATCATATAAAGCAGTCGACAGAAATCATGACAAAGAATTTTCTATGAAGACTTTCCCGATAGAACAAGCGTGTCACACTATCTGTGATTGGATGATAAATTATATAAATTTGATGAATCACATAGTGGTTTAGCAGTAGTTTTTTCTCTCCGTTTTCGTTTTTCGAAAAAAAAAAGAATGGGTAAATCTAATAGTAAACTTAGTGAAGAACAACTTCGAGAATTGCAAAAGTGTACTTACTGTATGTATCTCTCACTCGATAAACTTTTCACCAAGAAATTACTTTTTATAAATTTCCTAATGTCTCGTTTTTTCTTGATAAGTTAACAAGAATGAACTTCAACTATGGTAAGGAAACGTTATATCAAGATCCAAATTCTTTTATGTCAAGTGAATAGTTGCGAATAAAACTTAAAAATTAGGTACAAAGGATTCATAAAAGACTGTCCAACTGGTGAACTTGACAAAACCGAGTTTCAAAAGATATATAGGCAATTTTTTCCTTTCGGTGATCCTTCCCGGTTTGCTGAATATGTATTTGATGTCTTTGACGAGAATAAGAATGGAAAAATAGATTTCAAAGAGTTCATATGTGCACTATCTGTCACTACCAGAGGAAAAGTGGATGATAAATTGCTATGTACGTTGAGGATTTGGATTTCTTATCGATTCCTATGAGTTATCATGGCACTTAATCTTCTCGTTCGTTTCATAATTATAGGGGCGTTTCATCTTTACGATATAGACAATGATGGTTATATAACGAAAGAAGAAATGTTACAGATTGTAGACGCTATATACAAAATGGTTGGTAGTATGGTGAAATTACCGGCTGATGAAGATACGCCTGAAAAACGAGTCACTAAAATATTTACATTGATGGATAAAGTATGCAATTACTTACTCTCTCGATTAGAATTCCAAGGTTTTTGTATATCGAATGTTCTGACTAAAATTCCATTTCAGAATCAAGATGGTAAACTCAGTATAGAAGAATTCAAAGAAGGCTCAAAACAAGACCCTACAATTGTTCAGGCTTTAAGCTTATATGATGGCTTAGTATAGGATTATTTTATCACTATAGACTATTATATTATTTTAATATTTACTTTGGTATCTTTTCACATGCCCCAAATACCTTATCTATAATAAATAACTTTCTATTGTAAGATATTTTATTTTATATTCCCATTCTATAAAATATATTGTCGTATCACTTTTTTTCAATAATGGAACACAAGCCGATTTTAGAGGACACGTTACTAATAATTTTCATTTTGCATTTCATTCTATTTTCGCTTTTCCTAATTCGTAACAAAATTAACCTATCCCCAAAGTGAAAATTTATTTTTTCGTATAAATCTGCAAAACATTCGACTGCATTTAAATTCCATACACGTTGTAATTGCAAATAAAACTATTTATAATCAATCACATACAATACATCGGTGTTTTCCTCTGCATACATTGCCTGTTAAATCGAAAAGATCATTGGGACAACACAAATTATGTGACTAATTAATTTGAAAATATCTATGTGATACTAATTTATCACGCGATTTTGATATTCCCAATTAACCAGTAATGTTAACAATACATCATGCACGTTGTATTTTTTATAAATCATGTGAAATGGAGGAATTGGCAGAGACAGCCGATTAGTGCAGGTGAAAATTGCCAACATTTTTTACACACCTGTAAACGATGAGATGATGTTCTTGTATATACTTGATAGGAACATGATAATCTTATATGCCGAAATTATAATAACTAGATGATTGTATTTATGATTGGATAAATTATTTATTTATAGTATAAATAAACTCTAAAATAAGAATATTATTATAAAGGAAAAGAATGAAATACGTATTTTTAAATATCCCATTTTTAATTTTTCTAAATAGTATTTTTGAAAATTTTACTATTAGTTTTATAATATATTACAATTAGTTTTTTAGTCTAGGTTATGTTCTAGAATTAAAGATGCTAAATTATTTTATATATTAAAATATGTTAAAAATATAAATTATATTTTGAAATTAAAAATATTATTTATTGACTAATTTATTATTCTTCTTTTTTTTATAATAGAATAGACAATAAATGTCAATTTTTTATTTTATTTATTTATTTTTTTTTTGTAGGTAAATATCATTTCTTTATTTAATTGTATAATAGTAGATATATATTATGAAAGAAATAACATTTTTCATATGTAATAGTACAATGAGTTAAATGCTAGTTTGCCTACAGTAACCATTAAACTAATATTGAAAAGAAATTTTAAAACAATATATCTTGTCAAGAGACTCTGAGCAGCTATAATTACCTACTCAGTATTGGATGGAAGAAAATTAAGATAATTTTTAATTAATTTGAAAATATACTTGATGAAATTGAATCTGTTTTTGATGTAAGAATTGGCAACTATAGTAGATATATCTATTGTAGTTAATATTGAAGTAGAGAAGTTACTGGAAAATTTGTATTTGTTTGGAATTTTAATCACTTGTTTTGATATATTGTTATGAGGATTATTGTTCTATTTAATACCAATAAAAAAAGAAGTATTTGCTATGGTGCAATGAAATATTCAAATTGATTTGTATAAGTAAGTTAAGGTTTTGGTTAAGGCTTCGACCCAGTTGAAAAAATTAGTTGTAAAAAAGATATTGTCAGTAATGTCATATGTCAGCTCTACTAGTTGTCAAACATGTGAGATTGGCTTGTGATCATTATTGAAGTGAAAAATATTATTAATAATGTTGATAAGTTAGTTTCAATTTTTTATTTTATATATTTTTATAATATACAATATATATATAAATAATATATAGAAATTTTTTTCAAAAAAAACTCTTTCCCGTAAATCATTTTTCACCTGAAAATTTCCTTATTTGGTAATAGTCTTCTCAAGAAACTTTT